GTGAGTCGTTGAAAAAACGGAAGAAAATTGCCGCCGTAGTAGGCTTAATATTATTCGGCCACATCATTTGCCGTGTGTGTGTACGACTGTCTCCCGGTTTTCCACCGTTTTCCACTGTGTGGCTCATTTACATTTACATTTGACCATTACCAAAAGTGAAAGAGCAGGGGCTTCTAGAACTACTACCAGCACCGTCAGTTTGTCAGCCGTCATTAAATTGGCGGTACTCTGTATCATTGTTGTGAGCTGGACGCTGATGTCATTAAATTTTTGTAAAAGCAGCAGCAGCAGCAGTCATCATCATCGTAAACCTCTTCTTTTCAGCTGGCGACAATCACAAAGTTTTTGCTTTTTCTCCCTTTTTTCTTGTTTTTTCCATACCCTCTCACTGTTTTCCATTTTTTACAGTAGTGGTTGTGTGTTTGTGTATTTTTACTGGGTAATTTTTTCACTCATCACAAGAATAAAGTTGCAAATTGCGTTTGTGTGGTAGTGTTTGAAATAGTAGTAGGATAGAAAGACAGTAGTGGCAGTTGTTTTGAAAAATCTAATAAGTGGTATACATATTTAGATTTTTTGACTAGTTTTAGGGCTGATATATTAAATGGACAAAAATCTAATAACGAGATTCAATTTTAGTTTTTTATAAAGCGAAAATCCTAGAGTACAGACACAAAAACATTTTATTAATTTTGGTCAATGAAAAAGTCTTAGAAACATAAATTAATTTTGATTGTTTGTTTTTTTTTGCTGTTAACTTCAAGTGCAGTTTGGAAATTAAGTTTTTGCCCATTAAAATTTATTTTTGTCATAAAATAACAATTTTAAAGTTAAAAGCAATTAAAAATGTTTTGAGCAAAAACTTTGACATTAAACATCTGCCGGCTATTTGACTTTGCAAAAAACCATATACGCTCAAAACTTGATAAAAGTTTTAATTTTCCGGTTAAATATTGTGTTTTTGTCTGCTTATTTTTTTGAAAGCAATTAAAAAGTTTATAACTTTTTACATTTTTTCTTATTATTGCACTAGCTAATTGAAATGCCTATTTAAATAAAAAAACAATACACAAGGTGATTGATATACAGCAAAGTTTACATAATTTTTGCTAAAAGCAATAAAAACTCATTATAAACTATTGCCCTTAAGGCTAGACATGGAGACTAGCGGCGCTGCACTCAGTGCAATGCATTGTTTACCAAAATCGTATGTGATTTTCGGTTTACAATATCTCGGCCAATTTTTAAGTTAAAATTACAATTTTGGTTTTATATTAAAGCTAACGACTTAGCCGAAAGAGTTACTAATCAAAATATTTTTAAACGTTTTCAAACTTTTTTAATTGCATGTTGAGTCTTGAAAAATGCTAAAAATCATACTTTTTCTGGAGTTAACTTGCAATTGAAAAAGTTTAAAAACGTTTAAAAATAGTTTGATTGGTAACTTTCTCGGCCAAGTCGTTAACTTCAAAATAAAACTAAAATTGTAATTTTAATTTAAGAATTGGCCAAGATATCATAAGCCGAAAAATTTGAGTTTTTCTCAAAGAAAACTGTTGGAGCCGAAAAAACGCAACCTGTCTCCTTGTCTGGCTTTAAAAGCACATAAATGATGGCAATAACAGTTTTAAATGAGTTAAAATTAATTTATTTTTAAATTTTAAAAAACATTTTAAATGCATAAACTTTGCACAAAATTTACAGTTTTACAAATTTCACTACAACAAATTAAAATCAATCTAACTGGCTATCAAAAGTAAATTTATTTTTTTACTTAATGATACACCAAAATCTATCACTTTTATGAATTGTCTGTCAAAAGCGCTCATTGTGCATTTTTAATGAAATTGACGTGTACCGTCTTTTTTGTCAGCGCCAGATGATTAGCACCAGTGCATCATCAAAAGTTTACGCCAATATGATCACTAATCATATTCATAATGTAGCCAAAAACACACAGTTGGATAATTTTTTTAGCGATATCGTATTTAGTAGCGGCCCATAGGCCGTTAGCGACGTGGCTTTGAGAAGTTCGAAGTTACGTCGCCTGTTTGTGTATATAAGCAGCTATTCTTTGCTATTAAAGTCAGTCTGGATTACGTATGCTTGTGTTCACTCTCATTAAGCGTTTTTATTTTTAATTTTTCAAAAATAAATAAACATGTGAAAAAACCTCAAAGCTAAAAAAATATTTACTTAATTTTTTTGCAATCGTTCCTTTAGTGTCCCTGTTAATCGCCTGTGCCTGTTGTGTCACACTACTGCATGTTAATTAAAGTTCGTGGTTTTGTCTGTTTTTTACGGGGGAGGGAGAGCAATTGGACAACTCTCAAGTGCATCACTTAAGTTTTCTTTTAAGCACTTTTCTATTCCATTTTGGTACCGGTGTTTGACAAAAAGAAGAAAAAGAAGGAGAGGGAGAGCTAAAACGAAAGTAGAAAACACTTCATCGATTCTGCATTTGAAGACTGAAGAGCATTGGGGAAAAACGTTTACTTGATGGTCAGCGTTTTCTCTTTTCAATCGGCATTTTCTCCTTCTCTCTTTTTCCAAAGTGGTGGTCAGTTCTTTTTGCCATCAGTCAATTGTGCTGCGGTTAGGTACCAGCAAGTACCAGCGAGTTTCTGTCTTGTGTCTTTCTGTTTGTTGGCTGATTAGCGGTGGCGACAATTGCCCCGCAATTGACAGCAACAATTGATGCCATCAATTTCACTGAGCAGAGGAAGAAGCAGCCGTTGCTGTCGAGTGTTCCTGTCATCATCATCATTATTATTATTACTATTGCTCTACTACAGTTATTGTTATTACTGCCACTGTTATTATTATTAAAGAGCATATAACTAAACAAAACAAAACGGAGGAAAAGTAGAGAAAAATTTACTTACTCACTGGGCTAAATGGCCAATTGATCAAGTATAATAGCAATATAGGATCGAAAGGTGCACAGGCACAGTGTGTTTATCGGAGTAAATTGTTTTTTGACAATTAGTTAGCGTTTACTTTTCAATGAATGCGTATTTTCTTTGTATCGTAGTGTACTTTTTGTTGGAAGAAGTTGAGACAAGTGTGCAAGCGTTCCCTAAAGGGATCTGCGCTAACTACTCTCTACTAATTAGAATTTAACAAGCTTGTATAAACTCTTTTTTTCTAATTGTATGTAGTGTTGCGTCATTGTATGATGCTTGCTCGTTTTAACACCTTCAGGGTCGCGGGTACCCACAGACCTCCAGCCTTTGTCTCTCAACGGATTGAGCTGAAATTTTCACAGTAGGCTCCCTAGGTCCGGCGCATCTGGGGAAGGCCCTTCGATAGAGGGCGCCACCATCTTAATTGTTTAGGGTTGTTTTTTGGTAAGTCTGGGTATGCCATTAAATTCTGCTTAATTTTCTGAGAATTTTGGTGTATAACATGTCTATTTAGCCCCAAGCCGTCAGAGGGCGCTGATTTCAAAATTTTTAATTTTTATTGAAAAAATTTACAAAATTAATATTTAGATTCTACGTCTAATTTTATGAAAAATAACTTTTTGTTTTACAAGAATCGGCAAACCTAACGCTTTCAAATCATTTTTGAAAGTTTACAAAATTTTATTTTTGTTTTTCAATTTCTGGCTTTTGGATGAACCGGTTTTTACAAATAAGGTGTCAAAACTCTCAGAAAGACAATTAGAACTTTTTGGTAATAAGTTTGACAAAAAGTATTTTTTTCTGAAATTAGACGTAGAATCTAAATATTAATTTTGCTATTTTTTTAAATAAAAATTAAAATCAGCGCCCTTTGACGGCTTGGGGCTAAATAGACATGATATACACCAAAATTCTCAGAAAATTAAGCAGAATTTAATGGCATACCCAAACTTACCAAAAAAACAACCCTAAACAATTAAGATGGTGGCGCCCTCTATCGAAGGGCCTTCCCCAGATGCGCCGGACCTAGGGAGCCTACTGTGAAAATTTCAGCTCAATCCGTTGAGAGACAAAGGCTGGAGGTCTGTGGGTACCCGCGACCCTGAAGGTGTTAAGTAAAACATTCCCATTATTTTCCAGCAATTTTGTTTGAGTTTAAATTTAAAAATTTTAGCATATTTTATTTTAAAAAAGTAATTTGTGGCATTTTTCAATAATGAAAATTTGTATTGTTGGTTTGATCACCTGTTTAAAAATCCAGTAAAAAATTTAATATTTAAATTGACAATTTATATTGATGGAAAAATAAAGTTAAAATTTGTCCAATTTAAAATATGTATACATTTCTCAAATACAAATTATATGAACACATATTTTATTTATTTATTTTTAAACTGTTTGCTGTTTTGTCGTAAAATTTAAAAATAAAAACTTGTTGTTCAGTGGCAATGTAGCCTTAAATTGATATTTACAAAAAACTCAATTTTGAATAGTTTTAAATATGTACAAAACTCATTTTAATGTTTAAATATGTAAATTATTTTTGCGTATTTTTTGTGGCACATAAACAAAATAACTCTATTGTTTCTATTCAGTTTTTTAATATTTAAAATTGTCATTTAAAACTTATTTCAACCAAATTTTTTTATTAAATTGAACTTTTTTAAACATGTTAAAAGTTTCCAAAGTTACTCAACGTTAAATTAAATATTAAAATATAAAAAAATATTTGAATAATTTGTTACAAAAAATAGAGTTTGAATAAGTCCAAACATAGAGTTGTTTGTTTAACGGCAACAAATATCGGCGCTTAAAATTATCAATACCACAGTTAACCACTTATTTAATTCAACTGTGTGTAACTGCGACATAACTGTCACAACCTGAACATGCACTGCAAACTGTGAAAAAAATTGTCATGTCACACACTGTCGCTTTCTTCCCTGCGTTCTCCCTTTCACCCTTTTCACTCTTTTTCATTTTCTTTTTTCATTCTATCATCATCATCAGCAGCAGCAGCAGCAACAGCAGCAACAACAACACTGAAACAATGCAAATGACTAAATGCAAATGACAAAATTGATTCGGACGATGATGTCGGTGCGACTGCCGTTGCCGCCGCCACCGCCGCCGCTGCTGTTGCTCAATGCCACACGTTTTGCAAAAGACGGACATCAAAGTGTGTCTGAGCTAACGTGCAGAAGGACTGAAAAGACGTGTCTGAGTGTCTGTCAGTTGGTCTGTTCAGTGTGGTGGTGGTCGTGGCAATTGGTTCAGCCCTCACTGGCTGATTACCACTGACTGCTACCAGTGGACCGACGCACACCACGCAGCAAACAGTGTAGAACTCTTACTCTCATCTCTAGCATCACTTGGAAGAGAGAGAGAGAGAGAGAGTGAGAGAGAGAGAGAGAGAGAAAATAGAGAGCATCAGTTCCAGGAACAAACACTCTTTTTCGCTCTCTCGCTCTTTTGCTCTCTTTTTCTCGTTCTATTTCGCCCTTTTTGCCTCCTCATCTCTCTTCAACATCTCTCCCCGTCGGCCACCGATGCAGTCTGTTTTGCCTGTTTTAGTTTCAGTTTCCCATGTGACAACGGAGCCGAGCAGAGCCAGGCATGTATTGCTGCTGCTACTGCTGCTCTAATTGCTTGACTGTGTTTTCAAGTATTCTGTGCCGCCGCCGTTGCTAACACTGCTGATGCAAAATTTGAAGCTGAAACAGAACGTTTTCAAGAAGCTTGAAAACACGCGCTTATCATCACTTTTTTACCACTTTTACCGTCGTTTTCAGCACTTTTTCATTGTCATTTTGTTGTCGCTTTTTGTTTTTGTTACCCCTTTTTAAAACATTCAGATATTTAAGTTTAGTTGATCAGCTAAACTGTTTTGTTTACATTTACCTTTTTACCCACTGATCATGTAACTGATTTCAGCTTAATAGTCTAAAAACTCAATTTTAACTGTATTTTAGAAACTAGTTAACGATAAAGAAAAATAAAGCACAGTAATCTCCAACAGGACACCGTTACAATCATGGCCACTAGCTAGTAAACAAAGGAATTACAACCCTGCTTCTTTTCAAATCTTGATTGGACGCTGGCCATGTTTGTTCAAATTGTTTCCAAAAGCACTCACTCCTTAAACAACAACAACACCAACAGCCATAACAACAACAGTAGTAATTGCAGCCATTCTTCAGCCACTTCTCAGTCAGCTAACAAATCATCGCCAACATCATTGCAATCATCACTGAGTTTGTTGACGAATGCCAACAGAAAACAAAAACTTCTTTTGTTGCCCGTTGACAACTTAAAGGTGTTGACAAAAAGGTCTGCTAGGAAAAGAAAGCTAGGCGACAAAAAGGAAAACGAGGAAGAAGAAGACGAGGTGGCCGAGGAGGAGATTACTTCAAGACACTCATCATCAGAACATTTTCCAACCACTTTGCTCAAATTTCTTTGCTCGAAAATAAGCGGCGGCAACAGCAGCAGCGGCAGAAGTGCTAACCTTTTCAATGCTGCAAATACGGAAAAAGCGGAGATGGCATCGAGAGAAGCAGCAACAGAAGCAGCGGCTTCACTGCACTGCGCGGGTAAGTTTAATTGCACTTATTTTGTTTACTCTTTTTGATTACTCGTCAGTGTGGCACACTAGTTCACAACAGTATTGTGCTAAAAAGATGTCTATAACATTTGATAAAAACAACGTTAGTTTTTTTAGATTTTTATGCACAAAAATGCGCGTAAAAGAGGTCATCAATAAGCTGCCATTTTTGGTGTTTAAATCAGCATTGCCATCACACTGTTTGCAAAAAAAAATGTAAAGCAGCTTTTATTGAGTTTAAAGTTTAAAGCTCATTTTACCTGATATAAAGTTATGCGGAAGTGTATCAAACGCTCCGGCTGCGGCAGTAAATTTTGCGTTTGCTTTTTTCGTTTAAAAATTCTAAAATATTAAAGATTTATGCAAATGCAAAACAAGTTATGCAATTTAAAGCGATACATAATAAAAATTAAAACTAAAAACTTTTTAAACAAAAATTTAAAAAATTTTAAAAGTGTAGAGATTGTTTAAATAAAAAAAATCCACGATGTTTTTACAAATTACAAAATCTATTTGTTATTGCTTGCACTTGAATATGTCAACGCCTACAAAAGTTAATAAAATACAATGATAAATTGTTGTTCAAAATTTAAAAAATTTTGTTTTTTTATTGAACACTGTTCAAAGCCATTTGCACTAACATTATTTTATATTTGGTCAATCAATGGCGCCATATGTTTGATGTTAAAATGATGCTTGAACTACTCAAATCAAACAAAAAAATTAAAATAAAATTTTGTTACAAATATTTTTTAAGTTGTTTTTAACACTTGCCATTTTACTTGACAAGCTAATGTTTTTTGTTTTTCGTTATAAAAATTTTGCATACAACTTAAAATAGCAATTGTTGATATGCTTTTAATGATTTTTTTATACAAAAATGATTAACAAAAAACTGTTGCTTAATAAAAACTATTTTTGTTTTTTAAGTTTATTCAGTCATGATGATTTAACTCAGTTGCAATGATTGTGGATGAGTGCTGTTGACCACTTTTCATCAGTTGTAGTGGTTATGATTGCTATCAAACACAATGACAATATTAAATTAGCCAACCAGCATCTGTTGGTCATCAAAGTTAATAAAACTTGGCCATCATAGCCATCACAACCACTATTTTTGTAACAATATTAGTTTGTTGTATTTTTCAATAATGTCGTTTGTTTTATTTTTTTAAACTTAAAACAAAAACATTTATTTTTAATGCTACACTGTTAAATAAAAAAATTCAATTATTTTGTGTAACAAATTAAATTGTATAAGCAAAAGCACATTTGAGTATTAGAACAAAAAAGTAATCACATGTAACTTTATCAAAAAGTTTTTTAAATAATAAATAAATAAAAAGCTGCAAAATTAAAAGATTATGCAATTTAACACAAAAATATCAAACATGACAAAAAGTTAATACAATATAAATTTTGTTTTTGCAGTTTTTTATATCAGTTTTTATTATTTTATTAATACAAAAAACGCCATTAAAAATTGTTAAACAGACTTAAATACAGAATTATTATTGCATTATGATTTTTTATTAATTTGCATACAATTAGTCCATTGTTTCAGGCAAATTTTCTTAATTAACTCGTTAGCTTTCTCATTATCATCTACACTTTTTCCAATCAACTTTTTTCATTCAGTTTTTCTTTATTACTTTGCAAACTTCCTTTTGTCTCATATTCTTTCGTTTTATTTTGCCTGACTAGTTTTTTTCAATAAGATTAAAAGTTGGTGTCTCTACAAACAACCAAAGTAGCAGTAGAGACACTAAATTCATAAGGGCAATAAAGATAAATAAAAGAGCAAAACTGCATTTTCAACAAAAAAACCATTGCTTTAACTTATTTAATCACTCAGTCTGTCTGTCTATGTTGCATTAATTAATCTCTAATATAATCATCATCATCATAATGGTATTAATATAAACTAAATTCCGGAAACAATTCTACGCTCAGTTCAGTGTGTAGCCCTCAGTAGTTTTTTTGTGTTTTTGTTTCTTTCTTTTAAAACCACTGCTAAAACTTAGTAATCAGCCTATCCCTAAAAAAATGATTTTTCTCCCTCTGTTTCTCTGTCTTCACTTACTTTTTTTGCTCTACAAATTACACCGTTAGAGATATCGATATGCGGGTTTCACCAGTATAACAAGATAAATGGCATCTTTCTAATGATACCAAATTCAAGTTGATCAGATAACCGGAAGTATTTAATATGGCGGATTATCTGNAATATCCGCCTGCATATTTACTGCTTTTGTTGTAATTAATGCGACTTTTATTATGATGTCAATGTTTGAACAGAGAAAAATAATAGTGGCCTGCACTGATAGCTAGATTGTCATCAATGTTTTTATTTAACAATAGATAAACTGACCTTTAGTCAAATTCTATAATGTTCTGTCTGAAATATATAATTTAAAACAAAATATTGAAAAAGGTCGCTTCACTGCACAAATTTTTAATAATATATTTTATTGAAACTTAAATATTTTAAAATAATTTGCTTAAAAAATGTTCACAAAAAATTGTTTTTGTGTAAGTTTTAATAATAATGTTTTTTCTGGTCTTTTACACTTTGTTAATTTTATCAATTTTTAATAAAGACATTGTTTTTACATTTTTTGTGTTTGTTTTTTTAGTTTGTGTGTTTTGATCTTTTTCAGCGCCATATCATTTGTCATTTGCTGTGCCATCTTAATAATGGCTATGGAATGTTTAACACAGTTTAATTTCACATTGTTCATATGTGTGTTTACGCATTTTTAAACTGACAAGTACTTTTCAACACAAATCCTTCTTAGCACATTTCACACTTTTTTTGCGTTTTTGTTATCCATTGTTTTGCAAATTTATTATAAACTACTACTGCACAATTATCTTTCACAAGATTCAGTGGTAATTAATCAGAGCAGCACTTTTGCTGTTTTTGTTTTTTCTCATTTTCTGTTCAGTTCAACCGTTGAATGCGTTTGTCATAATTGTTGGACAACACTCTTCTTTCAAATCAAAAGTTTTTTTGTTTTATTGAAAATGTACAGTGCACTAACAAATCTGAGTTTTGTACACTAAAAAGACTACTGTCATTTTCTATTTCATTTTTCTGTATGTGTAGTCATTTTTTTGTTCTTTTCTTTGTTTAATTACTGACTGGATTTTTTCGCGACTTCTAAATGCAAAAGAAATTAAAAAAAAGATGATGATAATATAAAGAAAAAATTGCAAACTGCCACTGCTTCTTTAGATAATTTACTCGACGGTGCATTTCTCATCGTTTTCTGATTTTTTTGGTCAACTTGTTTTGACCTTTTTTATCTAAAAAAACAAAAAATAAAAAAATTAGCAAATGTTTAGTAGTAATTATTTTAAACTAAATTGCTTGCAGAGTTGAAAAATTTTGCAAAATGTAAAATATTGTGTTTGTAAAAACAAGAAAAAATAAACAACTTAGTAAAAAACAAACATTTGAAAAATGCTATTAAAAAGTGCAAACATAAACTTTTGAAAAAAGTAGTAAAATTTTGACGATAAAATGATAAAAAAATTACGCGTCTGTTATTGTTGTATAAATATTTGTTTTGTGGTTTAAGTAAGTTTTTGTATGTGTGCACTTTTTAGTACATACAAAAGCAAATATTTATTTTTTTAAATTTACTGCTTTTAAAATGATGATGCCAAAAGGTTACAAGTGTTTTATTTGTTGTTGTTTGCTGCGTGCAAAGAATTACGTAGTTGAGTTCACCTTTACAACATGAAACATGTCTTTTATGCGTTTTAAAACCAATTTAAACCATTTAAAAAAAGCTCAAATAAAATATGAAAAACAGAATGAAGTCATAGTCACTAGTCAAACACACCATTGTACACGCAATAAAAAGCAGTACTTTAATGAAATAGGCAGTAATTCAATTGCTTACATTTTTAAAATGTTTTTTATAAAAAGTAGTAAATGCAGGTGTCTGAAATTAAGTTGAAATCATTTTTTGCTAAATGTGTTTGTTGCTGTTTTTCATTGCTTTGACTTTACATGCCGGTAGTAACTAGCTAGTACTAACTGTTATTTGCAGTTTTCATGTATTTGCAAAATTTATTATTTGTTAACTGACGTTTGTTATTGGAATTTTTTTACTATTTTGCCAGTCATTTTGAACTGTTTGTAATTTGTCAATTTTTATTGGTCTACTAAAATTAATGAAAAGAAATCAGTAGCAGCTTTAAATAAAAAGTCAGTTAAAATATATTTTTTTGTCAAACACTTTAGCCTTTAACGGTTGTTTTCTAGTTTTTAGATTCAACTGTTGTTGGTTTTTAGATTTTGTAGCCAATGTTACAAATTGCAACTGCACTAAAAAATAAAAATCATCAATAAATTTTAACAACGACTTCGACGCGATCAACGACCATTGATGTATTTGTGACAAATTTTTTTATATAAAAAGATAAAAAACTGATTGCAAAAAAATGTTATTGCTACTTTATATCAAAAATCAAAGAGTGATCACAAGATTCGCCCCAATTTTTTTCCCGTTCAAATCATGACAAGTTATACTTTTTTGGAAAGGTAATTTTAAACTAATACAACATAAAAAAATATCAAGTTGAGAAACCTTACTGTTTTTGAAAAAATTGGGTCCAAAGTTTCTAAAAATGCATTGTTTTCAATAAAACAAAAAATCAACAAAAAATGTTCCAAAAGAGGGCGACACCATCCACAGCTGACTGATGCAGCGGTATAGTAAATGCATAAGAAATGGCAACTTTGGGCCCGATTTTTTTAAAAGAAGAATCCTCACTTTAATATTTTTTCATGTTGTATTAGTTTAAAATTACCTTTTCAAAAAGGTATAACTTGTTGTTGTTTGAAAGGGGAAAAAATTGGGGCAAAACTCCATGGGCAGTTGTGATCACTTTTTGTATGTTTTAACATTTGACTGAATAATAAAATAAAAAAGTAATAAAAAAGAATTTTGCAATTTTATTACTAAAACAAGGGCG